GATTAACCCTTTTTCCAAACCCCTTACCTACCCTTTCTTCTCCTTATAAAAAGGTTGGCTTGAGATGAGATGTTAAGATGGTTTTTGGGGGTACATAACCCATTGTCTTCTCAGTTCTCCAGCCATCTGAATAAAGTGCCCATAAAGATTTTTTTAAAAGATTTTATGTATTTATTTTTGCAGAGATGGGAAAGGATCAAGAGAGGGAGAGAAACATCAGTGTGTGGTTGTCTCTCACACACACCCCACCAGAGACTTGGCCTGAAACCCAGGCATGTGCCCTGACTGGGAATCAAACCTGTGACCTTTTGGTTTGCAGGCTGGCACTCAGTCCACTGAGCCACATGAGGCAGAGCCGCCCATAGAGATTTAATCCCTGTTTGTACTTACTGGCTCTGGTAGAGGCGGGCAGCATGAATGCTGACTTTTCTAGTTTCAGTGTGACCACTTTCAATGGAACCACTATGGAGCAGAGAAGTATGCAAACACGTGGAACTGCCGACCTTTCCTTCCTTCTGTAGCACAAGCAGCATATCCTTCTGGAGTGGATGGAGGCGTAGTCAGCCACTATTTTCTTAGATTGGGGAGTGGGTCCTCTTATTTAAATAAAGTGAAAGAAATAGTTTTAAGAGAAAGAGCAGAGGATGATAGCTGGGAGGACATGTGAGAGAATGGAGTTGGAAATATACTGCCAGGAAGGTAGGACTCGCAGGGAGAGGACAGGGGGCAGCAGGATCCTTGAGGAGCCCCGAGGAGGGGCGCTTTCATGGGGCTGTGGCGGGTCAGTCTCCCCATCAGAGAGCTCCCTGCTCTTGGGCGGTGAGGGCCGACCTCCAGCGTGTGACGGCAGTGAAAGACCAGAAGCCGTAGCCCCATTACTTTTAAAGAATGTAGTCACACCAAGAAAATAAACACACCCTGATGTGAAACGCCTCTGTGTTTCTCATTCCCTCTGACACATTTGCAGGCTGAAGGTCCTACTTTTTTTTTTTTAATCAAGACTCTCCAGGAATATTGTAACGGTTTTGTCTGAACTGAACTAAAATACTAGGAAAGGGAAGGGGCACAGGCTATTGTCAATGTGAGAAGCATCCAAAGCTGTAAAAGTTTTTATGAGTTTGTTTGAGCCAAAATGATGAAAATTGCTGGAAAGCAAAATCTCAAGGGACTGAGAAAATGCTCCAGAAAGTGGCAGTTTTAGTTCTTATTTTATACTTCGGAATCAAAGGGAAAGGCGTGAGAGGCTTACATAGAATCCATCAGTGATAGACTGGGGAGGTGGGAGAAAGCAGAGTGGGAACTTTCTGATTGGGTAGAAAGTAAAATGATAGGCATACTTCTTGTACACAGGGGGTATGAGATAGCTAACACTTAACCATGAACATGATAACGGTAACAGTGAGGGGACTTGGGTCTCTGCTTGGGTTTGGTGGTTGGGTGACTGTGCTTTGAGGGGTGGTGGTGGGGAAATGGCTCTGATATTACAGAGGTGTGTCATCAGGTGTATTACTCTATATGCAAAAAGACAATAGGCTCAGTTTAGGTGCAGATTTACCTATGATAGGGAAAAACACCACACTAGGACATGACTACCCACCGGAACAGTTTTTAGTCAGGAAGTTTTCACTTCAGACCATTCTGTTGTGGTTACGTTGGTTGCTGAGTTTGTGAGGCCATCATGCAGGCCTCCCACTAGCTTGTCAAGTTTACTGTGTGGCTCTGTTTTGTCCACACAACAAACACATACTGTTCCAGCTGTTTATCGGGTGTGATTTTCACATGACCATGTTGGGTGGCTATTCTAACCCCTGTTCTACAGGCAAGAAATTGAAGGCTTAGAGACGGTAAGTAACTTTCCCACATTTACAAAAACTGAGAATTTGGATCACGGTTTGTCAGACCTCAGAGCCCTCATTCCCCTTCCGGAACCGCCCCTTCCGGAACCGCCCCGTCCGGGCCTTCTCCAGGCTGCTCCAAGGGGGGACTCACGGGGAAAACCTCACTCTTCCTTTGCCACTTGATTTGCTCTTTATGCTGGTATTGAAAAATACTGCAAATGCTTGTGTTCAAGTTTAGCACAAGCATGTTTAGTTCTTTGAGTTCTTCTAAGAAATGTGTCCCTCTTCAGTAAGCCACACATTAGAAATGAGCATATTGAGCCGTGGCTGGGTAGCTCAGCTGGTTCCAGCATCGTCCCCTTCACCAAGGTTGTGGGCTCAATCTCCAGTCAGGGCACATACTGGAAGCAACTAGTAAATGCATAAATGAGTGGAAAACAAGTTGATATTTCTCTCTTCTGCTATATCTCTAAAAATTAATAATTAAAAAAAACAGTTTGAAAAAGAAATAAGCGAATTCAAGGGGATGGTGTGATGATAGAAGCATAGACTCCACAGCCTGCTCACTGAGTGCTCACAGAGCTCTGATTTCCTTCTGAACAGGACCAGAGCTCTCCCAGAGCTTTGCTGGGAACAGTAAAGTCATAAGGAGGAACAGACCATTCCACTGCCCAGTGCGGTCTGTCCTGCTGCATTAGTGGTGGGGCCCCTGTCATTCCAGAGTCGTGACTCTCAGCCACAGGTCATAGCTTGCAGACTCCCTCTGTGGAGGATTATCAGTGTTTTACAATGAAGTACCTGCCTCCACTCTCAAAGAAACCTCAGCACCTTATAGGATATGCATGGAGCCGCTTTGTGACCTTGTTTGGACTTTTGAAAGATTTCCCAGCGGAGAAGACACTTTAATAGGCAGAACTGTTTCACAGTGCAAGCACAAGAAATCCAGCAGGAGAAAAGAGGCACAATTTCTGAAGACTGTACTGTGTCTCCAGTCAGAAACCGTCTTATATTCCTCAGGTAACCCAAATGGTTCCTTCAGTTAGGCAAATAACCCCTGGATGTATAACCAGGAGCTGAAGAAAATTGCAGAGGAAAGAGAGAGCAGAAGGAAAAAATAGCTGGTGGGCCTAAAAAGATTTTTTCTTTTTAAATTTCTTTATTATGTGTTTGATGAAGGGAGACTACCACAATAAAATAATTTTTATATACTGTTACTTGTGACTTTGGATCATAATAAACCAGGATAGAAAGAAGCTTTAGAAAATGAAAAACAAGCCCTGGCTGGTGTGACTCAGTGGATTGAGTGCTGGCCTGCAAACCAAAGGGTCACTGGTTCCGTTCCCAGACAGGGGCACATGCCTGGGTTGCTGGCCAGGTTTCCAGTAGGGGGCTCATGAGAGACAACCACACATCGATACTTCTCTCCCTCTCTTCCTTGCTTTCCCTCTCCCTAAAAATAAATAAAAAAAATATTTTTTTAAAAAAGCAGGAAGGGAAAAGCAGTAATTACCTATAAGGGAGCTCCTGTAAGACTATCAGCTGATTTCTCAAAAGAATCTTTGCACCCTATAATGGATTGGCAAGAAATATTCAAAGTCATGAAAAGCAAGGATCTACAAACAAAATTACTCTATTCAGCAATCTAAAATTGAGCTATCATTTAGATAGAATTCAGCTATCATTTAGAATCAAAGGACAGATAAAGAGCTTCCCAGACAAGAAAAAGCTAAAGGAGTTCATCATCACCAAACCATTATTATATGAAATGTTAAAGGATTCTTTAAGAAGAACACAAAAAATATGAACAATAAAATGGCAATAAATACATATCTATCAACAATTTAATCTAAAAAACAAAATAAACAAATAAGCAGGACAGAAACAGAATAATAGACACAGAGAACATTTTGGAGGGGGGTTGGGTGAATGGATGAAAAAGCTGTAGGGATTAAGAAGTACAAATTGGTAGTTACAGGATAGTCATGAGGCTGTAAGTACAGCATAGGGCACAGAGTAGCCAAAGAACATACATAGAGGACCCATGGACATGGATGACGGTGTGGGGATTGCCTGTGGGAGTGGTGGGTGCTGGGTGGAGAGAGACAAAGGGGGAGAATTTGGGACAACTGTAACAGCATAAAAAGTCAAATATAATTAAAATAAATAAGAACAATCCTTAGCAATCAAATAAAAAGACTTATAAAGAAAATGATGTAATGATTGCTTTTGAAACATAAATTTGGCAACAACCTCGATTTACTTTATGTTTCTTGATTTTTGTATATATTATAAATTGAAATATAATATATATAATTTATTATATATGTAAATTATACACACACTGTTCTACTTTCTAAAAACCAAAAACAACAAAATAAATTTAGGGTGGCTGTATGAAAAATTGAAGTTCTTTAGTTATATATTAAAACATAGTTGTTGGAAATCAACACACTTTATTAATCACTATCTTCAAATCCTGTTTTTACTATTATTTCCTGGAACATTAGAGGTGTACTTTCTCTATTAGATATAATACAAGATATTTCAAAATTTTCTGTAGTATTAAATGACACTAAAAACCACCTGCATCCACCTGTAACCAAATGGTTCCTTCAGTTAGGCAAATACTTAGGCTGGTTTTCTGCAGAAGAAACTATAGCTGTATCATCAGATTTGACTTACCAGGGAAACAAATTTTGCTTGTTTTAGGAAGATGTCACTTCCATGTACTGTGAAAGACATATGTTGACTATGTTTTATATTAATTTTGGGGCTTTTTTCTTTTATCAGATTTGGAATTCTTGTCCCCAAGAAAGGTGCAAGCAATAATGCTTCCAAGATAACTGGGTTGCATCCTTATTGGTGGAATGAGAAACCATTTTACAGTTTTTAATTGAGTGTTCATTCTCTGATCTGTAGTAATGCATTCATTCTATAGCTATGGAAACTTATCCCACCTCGCTCTTGAAACCCTCCTCCCACTCAATTCATTGAAACAGACCCTATGGGACCAAGTCCAGGGCATCCCTGCATCCAGTATAACCAGACTTCAGCTTCCTTTGTCACCATGGTGACTGCTCGGCCGGCCTAGTGGTCGCTATGGTAACCAGGGGCGGGTAGCAGGGTCTCGGCAGGCTGGGCGCATGCGCGCGGGGAAGCCTAGCTGCGCCGCAAACCCGCTGCTTCTGAGCTTTCCGAGACATGGCGCTGAGGCTGCAGCGGCGGGGATTCCAGCTCTGCACCCGGCTGCCCGACTTCTTCCTGATGCTGCTTTTCAAGGGTGAGTGTGAGTGTCCACCTCTGGGAGGCAGGAGTCTGGGTGCAACGCGAGCGGAGCGGGCCCGCAGCGGCTGGATCCCGTCCAGGTGGGAATAGCGGTCCCAGCGTCTGGGGCTCCGGGGACTCCTGGGCTCTGGTGCTCCGGGTTCTCGGCCACAAGAGCGCTCGTGTCCAGGGAGAGGATTCGGATTTGGACATGGAGGTGGGGTCCGGGCGGGTAGGCACGGGGTGCGGGGGCCCGTGGGAGGCCCGTGGGGTCCCGGGCAGCCCGTTGCGGGTGGTGGACTAGACCCGTGCAGTTGGCACGGCTTCTGGAAAGACAGTGGCCGCTTGGGCGTGGGCGCGGGAAATTGCTGGAAGACACTGGAGCGAGCGGCGTGCGTGGAAGTGGATAGTGAGCGGCTTTCTGAAGGGTCAGCGGATGCACAACTCCGTCGCCTGTCTGGATTCTTAGTCACGCTCTCTGGGGATCATTTGTCCCTTGCTGTAAACAAAGGGACTCAATTTGGCAAACCTAACTTTCCTTTCATGTAAATAAAATGCCACTGATCTCACTCAAGTACTTTTTGCTGGTCTTCAGTTCTATTAGGAGACCCCACAGGCCCTTACCCTGGCCGTTAGCATCTGGGAGGTTTTGGTCGGGACACACCGACCAAATGGGAGTTTTGGTTTTTCTTTTCCACTGTCTGAAATTGCCATTAGCTTCGTGTGTCCCGGGACAATTGGACAGAAGGACTGAAATAGCCTCTGATTACTGAGCGCATACTGTATACTGGGCACTTTGAACAATATCTTATTTAGTGTTTACAGCAACTTTGTGAGGTGGGTTTTACTAACCCATTTTCACGTAAGAGAACTAAGACCTAAGCCAAGGCTCTTTTCAAAGGCTGCATTCCAAGTGAGGAGCGAAGACCCCAGCCCACCTCCATCTAAAGCAGGATACCACACTTTTTCTTTCCCTAGCCGCTCAGTTCCTAGGTCATTTTGTTGTTTGGCTTGTTCGCCATTGCCATCGCATAATGTTTTCCAGAATATACAAATTAAAACACGAAGTGCCTGTTGGGGAGTGGGGGTGGAAGGACACAGAGAACAAAGCACTGCCTGTGTTTGATGGCCGATCCCGCGGGTGTTGGTAATGATGGCAGTCAGAAGTGCGGCTTTGGGGCAGAAGCTGTAAAAACAGGGCTCTGGGATGAAGCATGCATTTCAGGGTGTAAATATTGACCATGTACTTTGCCTGAAAGTGATTTCCAGAAACATATGTGGTTGAGTGACATAAGTGGCCCAAGGCTAGCCAGGGGACAAGGGTGTCAGGAATGTCCAGCCCCCGGCTTTGCTGGTCACACTGACACTATCCTATTCACAGACTGGAACAACTCCCTATTGTTGCGGAGGTCTATTCACATGAAAGTTTGCAGTTTTTATTTCAGGGACATTTGGTGATTTATTTCAGGAATGAGGTTCTGTTGTGCTTGGTAGTTTGTTAACAAAACGAGAAGATGCTGAGGACTTCACACCCCCTCTTATTCAGCTCTCCCGAGGAGCTCCTCGCGTGGCTTTCTGGACATTAAGGGCTGAGGTTCACCTGGAGTGCACAGGAGAAAAAATCAGACTTTGCAAAGTAGGACCAATGACAAAGAATCAAGGTGGTTGGAAGTATCAACTCGCTTTACAGGGACATAGTTATCTTTTTTTAGTAGGGAGCTCTGTTCTCGTTATTTCATTTAGACTCTAAATATACTAGGAATAGCTTGAAACTTTATTTTTCCACAGGTCATGGCAGCAGTGTCTTTTTTATTTTTATAATTACTCTTTTTTTGAAAGATTTTAAGTTTGTTTATTATTATTTTTTAATTTATTTATTTTAGAGAGAGGAGAAGGGGGAGAGAAAGACAGGGAGAGAAACATCAGTGTGAGAAACATCAATCAGTTGCCTCTAGTATGTGCCCCAAATGGGGACCGAAGCCACACCTTGGGCATGTGCCCTGACTGGGAATCCGACTGGTGACCTTTCACCTTGTGGGACAATGCCCAACCAACTGAGCCACACGGGTCAGGGCATGATTACTCTAATTGCTTTTGCTTTTCAGTATTTCATTTAGCAAATGTTGGTTCCCAGTATAATACAAACATTCTTTGTTAGTTACCCTTTGCGAGGCTCTATTATAAGAATTTATCATGTATTCGTTTAATATTGGTAATCACTAAGAAGTGGTTACTATTATTTTTCCCATTTTGTTGATGAAGAAACAAGTACAAGAGAGTCAGTAACTTGCTTAGAGTAATTTTATCTGGAAATCTTCAACCATTTGTGTTAATCCAATTTTGGGGTATTTGTATTATTTCATTTGACAGAGGAATTCTTATTATGGATCAGTTTACCAAATAATCAAATGTTCAAAGCTGTGTGGTTTGTATCTAAAATTCTCTTTTGTTGAATTGGTGACAGGTGCAGTTCACATTTACAAATGTTATGTCCCTGTTGTGTCCCCTGTCATTTTTAAGTGATTATTATTGTGGGGCTTCCGAATGTTTTGATGTCCTAGAGAGAAGTGCTTCATTTAGAATCAAAATGGTAAGTAACAGTTTGTATTCTTGGGATAAGACAGTGTGTGAAAGCCTAACGAAGTTTGAAAATCAAAATTTTCGGGACATTTTCTTGAAAACCAAATTCTCACTTTTCCATTTACATTTGTTTGGACTTTTGAAACATTTGAAAAAATAACCTATTCTTTTATGTTGTTTTAATTCCTTTAAATGATCCGATAGATAACAGCCATGATTGGAATGCGTGTGTGTTTTCAGAAGAGCAAGGGACACCTGCCTGAAGCATGCAGTGCCTGAAGTCAGCTGTTCACTCCCAGGCAACTTGTTGATTGGCATTTGTTCTTCAGGGCTTCAGGCTGAGAGACCGAATGGATAGCTGTTAGAAACACTTAGTCATAAGAAATTGTAGTCTTACATCCTGGTAGAATTACCATACACCCAACTTCTAAGCTCTCTGCAACTTGTTCTGAAGACAGCCCAGTGGGGTTGGCTTAAATCGATTCTTTTGAAGGAAACTAGATTTATGTTAAGCACACTTTCTGAAATGGCCAAATAATGTTACTGAAGAAGCTGTGGATTTAGTATAGGCAACTAGCAGCTGTTAGAGATGTGATATTAGCAAATTCCTTCTCTATAAATTCTTTGAATTTTTTTGAAGCACAAGTGGGGTAAAAGAAAAGAAAGTACCGTATGTGTATTAAGGAAGTTAGGATATATGGAGTCTGTTGAATAATAATACCCCGGTCAAGAAGTTGGATTCTCTCTCTTTTGTTTTAAAAGATTTCTTTTTTTTTTCTTTTAGAGAGAGGGAAGGGAGGGAGAAGGAGAGGGAGAGAAACATCAGTGTGTGAGAGAGCCATTGATCGGTTGCTTCTCACGTGCTCCCAAACAGGGACCTGGCCCGAAACCCAGGCACGAGCCAGGACTGTGAATCTAACGATAACCTTCTGCTTTGCAGGCCGGCAGCCAGGGCAGATTCTCGTATCTTAAAAACATAAGATATGTTTGTAATCAGGTGGTGTGAATGTGGTGCTGTTAGGGCTGAATGCAAATTCCAAATCTTCTGTAACGCCCCCTGAGCGCCAACGTTCTGTGCACATAGCTTCACCAGAGTATAGAGATGTGAGGGAAGGTTTCAGCAGGCACGTGCTGCCCTGTGTTTAGCAAGGGCAGAGTTCACTGTGCAGCTCTGCATTGATAGCTGAACCTTAATTGACTGCTTCTGCCACTGGTCATTTTTTCACTCAGCTTCCTGAGAATTAGTACTTGTTTGTGATGTCAAGGAATGCTGTAGTATTCTGTGTTGGTGTGTTTTCTTTGTTTTTAAGTTGTATCTGTTGTGTGTTATATGTTTCTCATGAGTACTTAATACATGCAGCAGGAGTTTCAATGCCATTTGTGTAGAAAAACAGCAAAGTTTTTAATAAATTAGGACTATGCAAACAGTTTTTTCTTATATCGCCTTTTATTTTTAGAGTATCCCACGGCTTCTGTGGTTTAGCCTTCTTTCAGCAAATTGTTGCCAAAATCAAACTCTGCCATCTCCCTGCTCTCTGCTTTGCCTAACGTAACCCCAACTCACAGTGACTTCCTGTCTGTAAATAAGCGTGGCTCTCAGTCTGTAGTTCGGTCCAGTGCAGTGGATACTTACCGAGTACCTCTCAGGAATGTGCCAGGAGCCGTTGTTTATGCTCCGGGTGCAAAATGAATCAAGCGCCTCCAGCCCTTGAAGAGCCAGGATGAGCGCATTCTGAATTGTGTCGGGCTTCCGTTGTTGGGTGTGAGTGCATTTTATCTTCTCAGTGATATTAAACATTTGTTGAGAACAGAGGCTGAATTTAATTTCCTTTGTATCTTTTCAGAGGTGATTACGGTAAATATTCTCTTTGTCACTTGAAACTCAGTTAACATTTCTTAAACACTGCCTGTGTGTGTAGGCATTTTTAATGTATCTTATCTTAGTGCCTGTGGCCCAGAAACTTTTGGAAATGCTTAGTTTTTAACTACGTTAGTGCTGGTGGAAGAAACATAATGGGGTGATTTCTTGACTTGGTTTAATTTAAAAATCTTTCTACCATCTACTCTATGCAGTTATACAAGGTTAAACAGAAGAAGAACATGGGGAAATGCTGATGATATAGTTTAAGTGGCACTGGCTGCAAGTATGACTCGTGTGTACCAGATAGCTGCAGTTACACAACACATGTAATGCCTAGGGGTGAAAACCTGGAAAAAATGAATCGAAATGTTATAGGAGCTATTTTTGAATGGTCCATCTGATGGCTGATGGTTTTCTGCTTCTCTCTGTTTTTCTGACTGATTCTTTTGTCTTTTTTTCTTTCATGAGGATTTTTAAAAATTTTAAAGGATTTTATTTATTTTTAAATATTTATTTATTTATTTTTCGAGAGAGGGGAAGGGAAGGAGAAAGAGTGGGAGAGAAATATCAGTGTA